TACTCTATGGTCATTAATAGATGCCTTTTAAAAAAAAATTTGTCGATGTTGTTATTGAATGTATAAAAAATCACATTAAACCATAAAATATAGTTAATGCCAACATCGATCTTTCTAAATTATTTTTACCTTGAGCAAAGGCCACAGAGACTGACAGATAGAATATGAATTAGCTAGAACTTCCCAAAATCTGAACATGTATTTGACTCTCTACATTAGTAACAAAATTGTTACACAGAGATACAACAACGAGTTGATTTGTGTGCACTCTCAAATATTGTACATGAACTTGAATAGGTGTTGTAGTTTGAATAGCTCATTGTTGAATTTGAATAGGAAATCTTTTAAATCCTTCTTTCAAGTTCAAAGGACCCAATGTCTATGAGTTGATTTGAGGACTTAAATCACATTGCTCAAGTATCTAATCGCATCAAGGGTTTGTCACACACTTTGGATAAAAAGGTATTGTATTTTACAGAAGCTCATAATAATCACCATTTCACCAAGCCCATCGAATCCATATTATCAATTACAACTATTATCAATAGCGAAAACCACTTGACAACCACAATTAGCTGAGTTGCCTTGCATATTTTGACAGTGAGTGTTGGGTTATATAACACCTTTCAAAAATGACCTCAAAACCAAAAGAAGAAGATTTCATCAGACTTTTTAGCCAAGAACTTTGTTCAGAGCAAAACATCTATATGTCTATTTTCCGTCCTTATTTGTGGCTCTTGGTAACAACTTCTTCAGTGACTATGCAGATTACTACGACCCAAGTGTTAACAAAGCTTCTCCTAATAACATATGATTAATAAAAAATAATTTAGAATGCTCATCGCAAATAGAACCATTAGGGTTATGGTCAAAATTGAGGTTATTTTTCTTCCAATAAGAAAAATGTTAAAATAATCCCGAAAATCTACCCACATTCATCATATTACTACATTCTCTCTATTTTCTGATACCTGAATTTAATTATCTTAAATGCATCAAATGGATGGACAATTTCTTTCAAGAGATTTAACCCCAAAATAAAAAAAAACACACAAAAATACAAACAGAAAAGAGTAATCACCTGAAGGATTGATGTCTAGAAATGCAACGACGAAATCGTCATGAACTACATTTAAGGGGAAAAAAATCCCAAAATCTATAACTAGAGAATTGTGGGCTAAAAGCAAAATTAGAAAAGTAGAAAAGGGGAAAATGGAGAATAAGAGAAGGAGAGGGTTAAAAAAATTACAGCGGGCTCGACGCTCGCCGTCTTCCTCGTCTCTCTCCTCGGCAAGCTCTTCTCCACCACCGACGATGATGCTGACGGAGATCGCAGACCATCGCTGACGACGATGCTGACGAAGATCGCAGACCGTCGACTGAGATCACCGATGAGAAACAAGGTAACTATTCTCTCCGCTCCCTGCTCGCCGCCGCTCTCCGATCGACGCCGCTTGCCTCCACTTGTTCACTGTCACTCGTCATCACCTCTCTCCAATCGTCGCCGCTCGCCGCCACTCGAGCTTAGTGATGGAAAATCTAGGGTTTCTCTTTTTTTTCTCTCTGCATCGTGTTTATGAAGAATGAGAGACGAAGGATTATCGGGTCTTCCAGCGATTCACTTGGGTAAATTCGGGTTAGACTCTCTGCATCGTGTTTATGAAGAATGAGAGACGAAGGATTATCGGGTCTTCCAGCGGTTCACTTGGGTAAATTCGGGTTAGACGAAGGGTTAGACGGATCAATCGGGTCAACCCATCTAATAAACGGGTAAATTCGGGTTGACCCATTTATGACCCAACCCATATAATTTGACCCATACCCAATATAAATGGGTCGGGTTGGGTCGAGTCGGGTTGATGGGTCGGGTCATAAATTGTCACCCCTACTTCTAACATGGCATCACATTTTTCATTAAGGATATGTTTGTTTGCACCGAAGTAATTATGAAGTAGCTGAAGTAAAAGAAGTAGATGCTACTTCTGTTACTTCCAAACAAAAAAATATGTTTGGTTCTTTGAAAAACTTACTTTTAATACTTCCTTAAACGCTTATGTGGCGCCTACGTGTCATCCTTACTTCTAAAATATTTTTCCAATCCTTAATACTTAGAAGTAGCTCGGAAGTAGTTGAAATACATATTAATTAGGAAATAAATAATTTTTTTATTAATATTTCCTTTATTAGTTACTTCTAACAACTTTTCATTGATAAAATTACTTCCTAGTTATATTTCCAAATGTTATCCAAACAAAAAAAGTAATGAAGAGGAAGAAGTTCTACTTCCATTACTTCTAAAAATATATGAAACAAACAAAAAAAATTCTATTTCCACTACTTTCAACTTCATAGTTTTAAAAGTTACTTCTATAACCTATTTTTTACTTCCAATACTTCCATTATCCAAACGGGCCCTAAGCAATCTAGCATTTTCTAATCTCAAATTTTCATTGCATTCTTTAAGATTTATATTTTCATTTGCAATGAGATCAAACTTAATAATTAGTGTTTCATGAGAGGATTCCATATTATCATGCTTGCTTTTCAAATCAATATAAATATTGTATAATTTTTCAAATTCATGCGCAAGTTCATTAAAAGTAATATCATCATCGTTGTCAAGCTTGCATACCTCACTAGGGCTATCACCTAGTGGTTGTGTGCATGATCCTCCAATGGAACTTAAGAGGAGGCCTCCAAGGCTTGTCGGATCGCCTCCAAGTCCCCTTGATGTGCTTCTATAAGTTTTTATAAATTGTAAGCACGATGAAAATGAACAAATTTGTTAGAAAAGGATGAGTGAAAAACACTAAACAAATATCACTACTAGAAACAGGACTTTTAGTGACGGACAAATCCGTCGCTAAAACTCGAAAATCCGTCGCTAAAACCTTTAGCGACGAAAAAATTAAAATTCCGTCGCCAAAATACCGTCAGTGCAGTGAGGGTAGCTAAAATGACCTTTGGCGACGGATTTTTCGTCGCTAAATTTCAGTGATGGAACATTAGCGACGACTAATCCGTCGCTCTATTTTTTTAATAAAAACAAAAAAACATCAGCGACAGATTTTCCGTTGCTAAAAATAACATTAGCGACGGAAAATCCGTCGCTAATGTTATTTTTAGCGACGGAAAATCCGTCATTATAAAAATTTAAAAATGGAAAAAATATTTTTAAAAATTGAAAAAATTTGTACAATAATATAATAAATTTAAAACTCTGTTCAATCAGCAGTATAATATTCATTCTCACGTATATATAACACAAATATTTTAATAAAAATATCCTAACATAATAAATATTGTTTATACAGCACACACCATGATAAATATTATTTATACAGCACACACTCATTCATTATTTTCAAAGGTAAAAAAAAACAAATGAGTCCGCCTGATCATCATCATCATCATCCTCATCACCAGCTCCATCTGCAAATATAAGCCCCGGCCTGCAAATATAAATTAAACGTTAACAACATGGCATGACATGCAAGTATAGAATTAAGATAGAGTATCATGGCATATTCTTATGTATTACATGTTTCGGAGAGAGTATCATGGCATATTCTTATGTATTATATGCACGCACGCACAATTTTTGCAACAACGCATGCACACACCCTAACCCCACCCGTAATTTTCTCACCATATGTGCATGCACGTGTACACGCACACACGCGTATACGCACGTACACATGCATGCATGCACGCATGAACGCACGCGTACACACATGAACGCACGCGTACACGCATGCACGCACGCGTACACGCGTGCACGCGTGCACCACACTCCACACAATTAATATGGAAATAAACTAGTTATCAAAACCCATCAACTATTAGTTTGAGATTATTTTCTTCCTTCAACATAGACAAACATAAAGTAATATCCAAGCATGAACCAACACACAATTAATTTGAAAGGTAAAAACAATACTCAGATTGTTATATCTACTTTCGCTTAAATCACCAAATACATGGTTGTCATCTACAATGTATAAGCATAATATGTTGTAGTTCAAAGATCTAAACTGATAGGGAAACAAACTACTTATCAAAGCCCATAAACTATTAGTTTGAGATTATTTTCTTCCTTCAAAAACAAACATAGAGTAATATCCAAAAGACCTGTTGACATTGTATTTTTATTTTTCAGAAAAGAAATACAAAACAATCCCATTAAATCTGAAAACAGAACATTAAAAAAAGTAAAATTAATAAAGCAAACAGAATATGGCCAATACCCGACAATGTGAACATGAAATAGCAACAGAGTTACTTGATTTCCCAGCCTTGTCTTTTATCTGCAAAAATTTACAACAAATAAAGAAAATTGCATAAAAGGAACTTCAACCCCAAAAAAATAGTATATTATAACAACTTTTAATAAATTGCATAAAATGAACTTCAACCCCAAATCCAGCCCTTAGTTTACCACCAATGCTCATCAGGTCAAAGAAGGGCAAATCAGTTGGTTTTGAGGGCACAATCCTGAGGTTTCCATTCCAAAGAATTGAAACAAACATTAAAATTAGTTACCTCATCAATATCATGCATGACAACTTTTTCTACAGTGTTGTGCCTAAGAATTTCCCTTGCAGTGGACCCCTCTCCTCCTCCCATTATGAAAATAGTCTTAGGACTGAAACAAACATTAAAATTATAATCAGGAAAATGCATTGTATTAATTAATTTATCTATTTTCTGAAAAACAAAATAAATCTTAAATGACTTAAATAATTTTACTCTTGGTGGCGGAGCAATGCAGGATGAACTAGGGACTCATGATATATGAATTCATCAATCTCTGCACTCTGAAGCTTTCCATCTATAACTAGGATGAACTAGGGACTCATGATATATGAATTCATCAATCTCTGCACTCTGAAGCTTTCCATCTATAACTAAAGCCTGCAGTTAATTAGAATAAACAACTGCACTCTGAAGCTTTCCATCTATAACTAAAGCCTGCAGTTAATTAGAATAAACAAAAAGCAGAGGCAAAGATAAGTATAAAATGATCCAATTAGAATAGCTTCAACAAAAAATGATCTGTCATTTATCATAAAAATAATAGAAAAAGAAAGAAAAGCTAGAAACAAAAGCCCTATACATGCAAGTGTTCCGAGACTCTCATCCTCTTGAAATTAATTATTTTCAGCGCTCAATACAAAAGCCATATGAGCTATGAATCTAATAAAACTGATCAGCTCACCGTCAAACACATGCATACCAACAATAAAAATCCAATGAAACCCCGTTTTCCACCATCACATTTAACGCCACAACATAAAATTAAATATCAAATTCTCTGAATAATAAAAATTAACTGAAAAAATCAACACTTAGGATTATTCTATTTAAAGCCACAGACACTAGAAACTTTCACTAATCTATTTTTTGGCATGCTGTAATATTACTCTCTCGTTATATATGCCTAAATGGGTGACAATGGGTGCACCTATATATGCATAACTAAAAAATCAACATAACTTCAAGATTTCAATTCATGTGTTCAAATATGGCATCTAAAATACAACTACAGCACATAAAATTTAGTTTACGTTCCTCTTAGTACAAAATCCATGTTAATAATGCATTTCCACTTGGTTTTCTACCTAAATTTATGAGGTGCGACAATGTATTTTTTATTTAAAAAAAGAGGCCTTCGAAGTTATGTCTGCAGGTTCTAGGCCCATAAGGCCTTCAACCACCGGCAGCCTCTTGTAAATATCTATTTTAATTTGTGATGTAAAATTCACAAGAACTAGTTCCTATGAACTCATCTCAGCATGCAACCGAAGTTTCGTGTCAAAAAATGACGCACGTTGTTATGCCACTGAGCTAAGCTGGTACATTTGCGTAAACAGTAACATTCATCTATTGGGTACATGTAAATCAATGATGCCATTTGTTAGAATTAAAATGCAATAGCACAGAAGGGACTCATCCCGCCATCCGCACCATAGAAATAAGAGAAATTGCACATAATAAACAAGCCATCCTTAAATCAATTTTCGTGTAAATGAGGTAGATAGAAGAGTATCAGCTCGCAGAGCAGAAAACAGATCATTAATGGCATAAACAGTCGCGTACCTCCTAGAGATGTGTTATGCATCTCACCAAATGCTGCAGGAGGTAGAAAGACAGAGGATAAGATACCGTCGATCTTGCATTTATAACAGAAGATAACATCAGCTTATAGTTTGTGGCCTTTCATAGTTTGTAATATTTCATCGGCGCTCACCTGGAATATATAGTTGCTGTGACCAACATTGGTATAGTTTCAAAATGCAAACACGTAACTTGGGTATTGCATGAAATCGAGAAACTAGATCATTTGCAACTATACGAAACTTACAAGCTGCGATTAGGTGCTCAAAAGCACGCATAACTTCAAACATCATACGCAAATAGAAAACAGTTTCAAGACCAACACTCACTTTATTTGCTACAAGGATAACCGGCAAGCATACAGTCACTTACCTCGAGCCACCTCCCACTATCGTGCACACATGATGGCGAGAACCTCTCCACGCTCTTAAGCATCACAATTACGAAGACCAGAAGGAAAAAAAAAAAAAAGAGAATTGAGCATATTCAGATCCAAAGGAAAGAAAATACATGTATTATTCAAAGGCAAGATTCAGCATTTAAAAGTTCGATTCACTATTTGATTCTTACATGGAGGACTATAACTAGTGAAAGAAAACACGCAGTTCCACAAAAATCGTAGTACTGCTGGGAATACCCAAGTTACATTTGTCCACCAGAAACAAAGACTTCATGCACGCCGGCGAAGAGAACGAGAAGGGGGAGAGGGGGGAATGAAGAGAGGGGGGGAATGGGAAATGAGAGAGGGATTTGGGATAAATCTCTCTCTCGGGCGCGGGCTGCCCAAATTTTTTGGGCTTGCCCGCGCCCAAATTTTTTTCCCAACAATTTTCTTTAGCGACGGAAAATTCTGTCACTAAAAAGCTTTTTAGCGACGGAGTTTCCGTCGCTAAAAAGCTTTTTAGCGACGGAATTTTCCGTCGCTAAAAATCCGTTGGTAAAATTAAAGCGACGGACAATTCCGTCGCTAAATATAATTTTTCCGTCGACAAAAAACTTTTGCCGACGGAATAATAGCGACGGAATTTTCCGTCGCTATAACATAACTTATAGCGACGGAAAATTCCGTCGCTATTGCAAAACCCCATATTCTAGTAGTGTATTCCAACAAAAGCTTGTTCATATTAAATATTATTTTATCATTTTCACTCTACTTGGATTTTTCCAAAGTAGGTATAATATAAGCATCTTCAATAACTTTCCATAAATCGAATTGTTTAGATTGAACAAAAAGTTTGAATCTAACACGCTATTAAGCATAGGAGAAAATATCCAAACGATGAGCAACATTAATGACATAGCCTAAACTAGATGCACCGTGCATATCCATAAAGTATATATGCCCAAACAAGATACAAAAATTAAAAATTGGATTAGCACAAAAGATAACTTGGATCTTTAACTTAAGGTGATTAGACCTTAAATCAAAGAGCACCAAGCTCTGATACCAATTGTTAGACCCTAGATGGGAGGTGATTAGGGTCTTATGCTAATCTAATCCGATTTTATACCAATTAAAACTTATTATCAAATTATTCTTGCAAGATAGATATACAATATGTTATGAACAAGAATATGTAATATGAACAAAGAGATATATCCTATATGATGAAATAGATGCAAGGATATATAAATACATGTATAAAATAAATATGACACTATAAAGAGATGAAAGCGATATATGATGTGAGCACAAATAAAGATGAATGCCAAGCAACCACAAACACATAATATGTTCACGAGGTTCGGTCCCCACGACCTACGTCCCCGCTACTCACCTCAGGAGATCTCCACTATCACAACCCGGTTTGGAAGTCGGAACTTCTACACACTCTGTTTTTAAGTTCATCGAAAACTCTCATAATCAATCACTATGCAATCATACTATACACATTAAGTGTTGGTCTCTAGCCCGTGTCCTCCTCCTCAAGTGCTCGGATACAATCTCTCCCTAGGTTCGTCAACCGACACCACTCCTATTGGATTCGACCTTGTTTTTTACTACACACTACTCTCAGTCTACAAGTGTATTACAAGTGATACTACAATATAAGTTAAATATAATGTTTTGTTCTCTATAATGAATGAGAACACAATGATGATCACTCTCACTAATTCACACACCAATACCCACCAATATATTGTATGAAATAATCTAAGCTCAATAAGGGTGTGTGAGATAAATGAGAACAATAAAATTCTAATTCAATTTAATATAGCAAGATATGAATATAAAATTAAAAATCAATAAGCTATATAAAAGAGTTTAGATAAACTTCTCTATAAGCACAAAGAACTGAAGAAATGATGATGAGGATGAATTCCTCAATTGAAATTGATAGCTTCTTCTGTGTGAAAAACTTTTCTTTTGAAACAAAGCTTGAAACAAGGCATTAAACACCTCTTAAACACTTTGTAAACTTAAATAATCAATTATCTTAGTTGGTCAGAATGTTTAATGCACTGGGGTATTTATAACATTCCAAAACATCAGCAAGAACCCAAGAAAAAAGACCAAAAAGCCAGAAGAAGACAAAACCAGAAAGTAGCCATTACAGTGTTATGAGTCGACTCGGTACTATTTATGAGTCGACTCATAAGTAGCCATTACAGGCTAAAAATCAACTTATGGGTCGACTCATAAAAATCATGGGTCGACTCATAAACCATGGGTTGACTCATAAGATCATGGGTCGACTCAGCAGAAACAAAACTCATTTTTCTGCATACTTTGTGAGTCGACTTATGACAGTCAGGAGTCGACTCAACCTGATGGGTCAACTCATCAAAGTCATGAGTCGACTCAACAGAAACAAAATGTAAACTACGTAACAGTTTGTGAGTCGACTCATGGTTGACTCAATACTGTTAATGAGTCGACTCATAAACATGTACACAAAAAATTTTCAACTATGAACCTTGTTAAAAAATATCAAATAAATTCTAAAAATGTAAAAGTTTAAGAATAGTTTATAAACATGATATTAAACATATTTGTGAAGAAATTTTGGAAATTACATTTTCCATTTGTAAAAGATCATCGTTTTAGCAAATGTGCACATATATGTGCAAATATGTAAACATGTATATTTGATTTTGATAAAGAGGTGTATTGCAAAACTTTTGTAAAACAATACAATCTAAACATGATGTTAAGTGTGTGTATAAATATATATTGAGCTTAGAGAATAACACACGATATATACAATAATACCTAAATGATTGTAAACATAGCTGATATGGATCTTTAACTCTGATATAAATTTGTAATAAGTCACAATCACTAGAAAACAATATTAGTAATAAATTATTTGTAAAATTATCAAAACAAAACAAGAGTGTATGCTCAAAACCAGAACCCTAACATTAATCTCTTGGGTTTTGTGTTTTGGGGGCTCAAAGAATAAAATCTTTATTTTGGGGGGCAAAACACCCATTGACAATGTCTTGGGGGGAGCACATTTTCTTGGGTTTTGGGGGCTAGAAACATTTTCCCTATTTTTTATTATAAAATTTATTGCCATTATAAAAATAGTTAAGATTCAACAAGACGTTAAAATTACATGTTTTTCATATCCCAAAAATACATTCCTTTTTCTTCTTCTTGAGCATTTTGAGTCACCATTTTTAAGTAGAAAGAAATAAGATTTCCGACTTCTTTTCTATTTTTTTTTTCCTTCGTAACACATTTTGTTTGCATTTATTAAGGATCTGTTTTGTATACATAGCTATTGTATATGTATTAGCATAGTGTATCTTTTAAATGATGTGTTTTGATTGCAACACTTGATCATCTTCCTATGAATTTTTTTTTTTCCTTTTAGGGCTTAGGCTTCCTATGAATGCTTTTTTTTTTTTTTTTTTTTTTTTTTTTTTTTTTTTTTTTTTTTTTTTTTTTTTTTTGCTTTTTTCTTTTATAGCTTAGGCGTTATACACTTCAAAAGTAATGCTTTATAGCATACATCTGTCTTCCAACCCACTTTATTGCCAAATAAAGGGTGATGAGGAGTAGATGGATCAATACGATCTAGTATAATAAGCTAATAAAGTCGAACTCAGGTGTCACATTTCAACTTTTGCTTACATTTGGCACATCACATGCCTAGTAGCAAATCACACCCCAACTTTATCAACTTCTCTTGTGGGGGGTCAAAAAAAGAAATATTTAAATAGAGTTGAAATCTACCTCTAATACAATTTGGAAGTCAACAACAAATATTATTATTAGGGTTACTTTCACAAAACCCCTTTGAACTTTGGGGAGCGTTGCACATAACTCTCCTAAATTTTGTTTATCTCACTTAACCTCCCTAAACTATTGGGTGTCTCACAAAACATCCCATGAGCCTTCGCTTATCCCACCTAACCCCCTTCTTTTAATTCGTAAATAACTAAATATCTTTGAGCGAAAATTTCCCAAACTTTACCACCTCTCATTTAAAGGCAACATACTCCTTCCCATTGATGTTTTCCTCTCAAGAAAATTTTAGTTATTTGCAAATTATAGGCAAAGTGTTAGGTGAGATAAGCTAAAATTTAGGATGATTTTGTGAGACACCCATAGTTTAGGGGGGTTCAGTGAGAAAAACGAAGTTCACGAGGGTTATATGCAACAACCCCAAAAAATCAGGGGGATTTTGTGAAGTTAACCCTAAAATTTAGAACCAGATAAATTCACCTAAGTAAAATCAAACAATCTAAAATTAAATTAGATATAAAATTTCAAATGTAAAGTCTAAAGTACCATAATGAATTTATACATTCCTCACTTGCTTCATTGTCGAGTAAGGACTCTTCAACAAATCATCACTTGATTTTCTAACTGTCTTGCATTAGGGGACACAACGTCTGCAAGAGAGCCATTCAGGAAGAAGAGTCCATAGCTCCTCCAGCCTAGGGTGCAATTTATAACTTGACCCGATCAGACCCGTTATAAATGGGTATAGTTTATTTTATATTGGTCGGGTTATAAACCGGTTGACCCAAAGAACCTATTTATTAATTGGGTCATAAATAGGTGAACCCACCGACCGGTTTACATTCACTCTTAACCATTCGAAACTTTTAAAAATAAACCCATAAAAATAAATAAACATTACAAAATCTATAAATTACATACAACAACATAAAATTTTATAATTTGCAGAAAAGACCCTTAGAGGCTCCAAAATTAGACAACATCCAAATTTATCAAATACCATGAAAATATAGAAATTTACGAAAAAGTACTAAAAATCTATAAATCATAAACAACACCATGAACATTTTAAATTTTGCAAAAACACCCTAAAAGATTTATAAATTGCAAAATACACCCTCCAAAGTCAAAATTTTAAAAACACGCCCGAGAAGTATCAAAACCTACAAATAGTACAAAATCTAAAGCTTATAAACAGCACCATATTATTTTTAAAATTTATAAAAAACACCATAATAGTTTCAAAAATTGTAAAAAAATCTCAAATAAGTCAAATTTTACACAAACACAACCTAAAAATCAAAGTCTACAGACACTATATACTCTTTTACCTATAAATAGCACCATAAAAGTTCTAAAATTTACAAAAAAAAACACCCTAATAATTTTAAAAGTTGTACAAACCCAAAATAAGT